GGGTACAAGTTACAGTAAAATATTCAAGTCACAGCAGTCTAACTGTAGTAAAAATAAAACCAATGGATTTATTTAGTTCTACTCAGTGGTTTTAGAGTACATCAAAATACTGTCAGCCAGTAGCATAGAAAATGACAGTTCTGGCCACTTGAGGATAGCAGTAGGACCTTCCTTTGATGAAACAGAAAGGAAGTCCTTCTACATCCAGATTCCTGGGCCTCTTTAACTTTTTGTTGTCTTTTTAAATTGACATCTGTATCACGAATTCTAGTTGACTTTAATAATAAAAACTCAGAGTCAGATATTGGAGTTAAAGCTGAGGATCAGAGAAGCAAAGCAGTCAGCCAGCCACTTAAGAGTTTTCACTTCCATCAATGCTCAGACTGGATCCTGTCCTCAGACTGCATCTCCAGACTACACTGCTCCTCAGACTGCCTCAGATTGCACTGACTCCTGTCTCTTCCCACTTTATATTCCTCTTTAGTGCTGGGATCAAAGGCATGAGATCCCAAATGCTGGGATCCCCACCTTCGTGTGAGCTCTATTTTTCTTTTAGACTGGATCATTTCATGAGCTCAGGCTGGCCTTGAATTAAGAGATCTGTCTGGCTCTGTCTCCCGCATGCTGGGATTAAAAATGTGTGCCACCACTGCCTGATGTCTATGTCTATGACTAATTAGTGTGGCTAGCTTTGCACTCTGATCTTCAGACAAACTTTATTAGACCATAAACAAAATATCACCACAGACATCTATAAAGTTCAGCACTTGTTTCTCTGAGGAGATAAAGAAGTGTGTGAGTGTGCGTGCGTGCATGCGTGCGTGTACTCTTTAACACGAATAATACTGGTATCATTAGTACTCATTGAAGTACTAATAAAAACTGCTTTCCGTGCATTATTTCAATTAATCCTGTGACAACTTATAGGATAGAGACAACAATCATGCCAGTCAACTGTCACTTGCTTGTGTGACACATACCAAGGCAGACTCATCACATGTGAATTGGTTTCGTCATTCAGTTCTCACAAGAATCCTATGATATATAAGATTATTACCCCATCATTTGGAGGACAAAATTAATTCTACATGACATTAAAGAGCACCAAGGTACTAAATGTTAGAGTGTAACTGGATTACATTCAAAGTCTCACACCACCGCCTTTTTTCTTATTAGGGTACCCTCAGTTGTTTCCATCTTTGTTTTGGTCAATCCAGATGTGATGATGTCTGTAATGCCTTTGTTCTTTTCCATTGACTTTTGGGCTGTAACTAGTTGACACTCTTTCAAAAACAGAGCTTTAAATTAAAACCTAGTACTCTATAGCCTAAGGAAACTTGATATTAAATCCATTTTTAAGACATTCTTAAGCATTTGCACATTGCCTTCTTTTTCTTGGGGAAAACCACAAAGGTAAGCAGAAATGACTGGGTCATACAAGATATTTTTCCCCCTAATTACCTACATATTGACCTGTAAGGAAACAATAGAGAACCTAGGTGAAATGTATGTGATTATCTCTCTTTTAGCTATTAGATTTTCCTAGTCTTCCTCTTTGTCAAATGAGCACTTTTTACTATATGCTCTTCTAAATATATACACTATGTTGTCAATGTCAATGTTAATATATATAAAATTAAGTGCATATAAAGTTAATAAATAGTGGAAATAAGGAGGTTTGTGAGATAAACAGAGAAAAATATTTTCTATATAAAAAAGAATAAGGGGCTGGAGAGATAGCTCAGTGGCTAACAGCACTGGCTGCTCTTCCAGAGGTTCTGAGTTCAATTCTCAGCAACCACATGGTGGCTGGCTCACAACCATCTATAATGGGATCTGATGCCCTCTTCTGGCAGTAAGGCATACCTGCGGATAGAGCACTCATGCATAAAATAAATCAATCTTAAAAAAAAAAAAAAAAAAAAAAAAAAAGAATGACTGCATCTGACTCAAGACAGTAGGGAACTGTTGAGGAGCTTATCATGTGACATTTTAGGACTATCAGTTAACTAAATCATGACAGTGGGAAAAAAAAAGTCTTGACAAATTCAATTAAAAATTGCTAAGCCCTTGGAACTGGCTCACATCTAATCCCAGCAGAGGCAAGTAGATTTCTGAGTTTGGAGCCCTGTCTCCACGGTGAGTTCCAACATAAAGAGATGATGTCTCAAAAACAAACAAACCATTTAATAAGCCCTGTACTAATCAATGAATGAATAAAAATAAGACACATTTTCACTCATGTTCAGGAAAGGCCAGGACAGTGAACCCAGGAGGAGCTGGTCCATAGTAAAACACAAAGAAATGTAGTAAGTGACCCAAGAGTTGTCTGTCAAGGACAATCAGAATTTAGAACAATTACAGCTTGCAAAATCAGAGATGATGATGGATGTAACCATCGTGAATGTGTAAAAGTTGGAGATAGTCTAGGAGAGACTAGTTAAAAGTCTATTAGGGTAACCTAGACTGAAATTGTGTTAGGGTAACTGTGATACAATCAGGTGGGGTGATATGAGATTGTAACCAGTGTGTCTCCATTAATAGTCTACAGCATCCCACCTCACCATAATCATTTTACTAACTCTGTGTTGACATTTGAATGGTGTACAAAATTTTCAGCTGTGTTCTAAGGTCTTGGAAAAAAGACAAACACAAAATGCATTTCCAGTAACCACGGTCCAGCTGAAGCTTTTTTTTTTTTTTTTTTTTTTTTTATGACAACTTACTCTAGTGGGTCCTCAGTAAATCATGTTTTTCTGCATTTATGATTCTAAATCAGGGAGCTCTGCTCCCTCAAGCCACAGCCATGTTGACCCTCTTAGCTAGTATTAGGTAACACATGTAAATGATTATATCATTAAGGGCAAGAGGGGACATTAAATGTGGAAACAGGAAGATTTACAACTAAAGCCAAAGAAAAAGATTACAAAGTCCTGTTTTCTTTTCTTTTTTTCTTTTTCTTCTTCTTCTTTTTTTTTTTTTTAATGAAATGACTTTCATTTAAAAAAAATGAGAACTTTTTAACATTCAGAATCATGTTTTCTTAGGATCATGAACATCCCTTTTAAAAACCAATCTTCATCTCTTAGGACAGGAAGAGAACATGTGAGAAAATTGTGGTTTATGTCCAACCAAGATACATTTTTCAGGGGCAAAGTCAGTCGTGATCTCAAATGACCTGTTGAAAGATTTAGCTAGAGAAAGCAATTAAAAAGCAGACTGATGATGGTCAGGGTGCATGTGAGGGGACAGAGAGGGTAAGAGGAAAGGAAGGAAGAGGGGGGAGGAAGGGAGGGGGAGCTGGGATCATGAGAAGGCCATTCAATGAAATGTCTAGATGTAAAGTGCAGATTTTCACATCTCAGCAGAGCAGCATTTAATTCTTGCAGAAAGTTACTTCTATGGAAAGTAACTGTTTCTTTAAGGACCACAACAGAAAATGGAGGTGAAGAGTGAGATGAAACTGGATACAAGCTGCTCCAAAGAGATTCTGGGAATCTTGCTGGGAGAAGATATTCCTGGCTGGGCTAAAACATCTGTTGTGAAGTGTAAAGAAAAGAGAGCATAGTTGGGTAAGGGAACGCTTAAAAAGAAGGTACACTTGAATCTGTTTTTAATATTAAAGTAAGAGAATGGCAGAATATCTTTAAAGTTACATACACACACACACACACACACACACACACACACACACACACACACATATTTTGGTCCTAGTCACATTCCATTACCTCCTCATTTGAACCCCTTCTGAACTGGGCCCTTTCATGTCTTTTTTGTGACCTACTGAGTTTAATTAGGGTTGCTTGCAAGAGCAAGAGTGATGTGCAGGCAAGGCTTTAAGTACAAAGATGTAATCAGACTGACTTAGAAGCTGGTGGATGTTGGCAGCTTCCAATTCCAGAGCAATGCCAGAAACGTGCTCCCACCCCTTGTCCTCCAGTAGAAAACGATTATAGCCATTTTTATTTTAAAAAGTCTCGCTATCTAAGAGATGAGGATGTGGCTAGTAGCACAGTTGGTGCTTTAGTTCACTGGTGACCTTGTGGGTATCAGCATGCAGGTTCAGTCTCCACTTCTATTCCTGGGGGTGAGACCAGTTCACTTAACTTGAAATCCAGGATATTGTCGATCAGCGGTCCACTTTTCTTCTGTTCTCCAAACTGCCCCAGACCCCGCTTTCTGCATCCAGGCAAGCTGACTTTACCTCCTCTAACTACATCAATATATTTTACTTCGAAGGGGTAAAATGTCGACGTGGACAAACTATGTAGCATTAGTGACAATGACTATCAACCGCGCAGATGTTTCTCTCGCATCAAGTATTTATAATTTAACACACAGGGTCTTCTCCCCTCTGATCTTTATGTGATTGCCACCCGGATCCCCCACTTATCCTACATTCATTTTCACGCAAATGGAAGCCTAGCTTCCGTGACTGTCTGCTGAACTTTTGGTAGCGAGGGCCACACTCGAGTGTGAAGATGAACAAGGCACGTGCAAGCGGCTTCTCCAGGCTTACCGTGCCTCAGGTGAAGGGCTGTGTCGCCCTGTGTGCGGGGTGACGGCGGCCACCGGGAACGCGGGAGGGAGTACTCTGGAGAGGAATGAGACAACACCGAGGATGGGTACGGTCCTCCACTCTGGACGCCGCGTTCAGGTGGCGCCCTCTCGCCCCCCAACCCCGACCGCCATCACCTGCCTAGCGGATAGCAAAGTGGGGTTCGAGTCCAGGGCGACATTCCAGACACTCGCAAACTAGGCGGCTCCGCGCTCGACGCCCGGCGGGAGTCTTCACTGGGGCCGAGCCTCCGCGTCGTCGTCCCCTTCTTCTCCCTCCCCCCAGGGAGCCAGACCCTCCACTGCGCGCAGCGAGGAACTACAGCTCCCGGCAGGCCCCGCGCGGGCCGCGCGCCCCGGCCCCCCGCCCTCCGGCCTGGAGACGGGACGGGAGGGAGGGAGGGCGGACGGGAGGAAGGGGCGCGGGCGAGCGAGCGGGCGGGATCTTGCGAGGTCGGTGAAGCTTCGCTGAGCTCCTGCTCCGGAACAGGGACGCGGACGCTGACGCGCGCGGACTTTCTGCGGAGCGACCGAGCCCGCCTCTGTAAGTAGTCGCCTGAGGGAGCGCAGAGCAGACACCGAAAAAAGTTCGCGCCGCCGCCGCTTTGTTCTCCCGACCCGTCGGGCTGAGGTGGCACGGCCCCTCCCCCACTGCACGCGGCGGCGGTGGCAGCAGTGGCGGCGGCGGCGGGACTCGGACCCGCGCCGGGCTGGGCGGCGGCCGCGGCAGGGCGGGAAGTCGGGGCGGCGCTCGGCGGGCGGCCGGATGGCCCCAAGTTCCGCGGTCCTCGCCGAGGCCAAGTTGGAATCGCGCGGCTGCGGTGACCCACCGCACCCTGCCCCTCGGGTAGGGGGTGGACCCGCCGTTCCCGAGCCCCGCAAACTAGTTGTGTAGCCTCTAGCTCCGCCACTCAGTGCGGGGAGCCTTCCCGTTTCTATGCTGCACTTTCCGTGGTCCGGGGGGCTGGAAGGAGCGAGTATCCGGGGTTTGGAGGATGGTGACCCCAGTTTCCTGCCTTTGGGCTTGCGAGTTGCAGCCTCGTTCTAGGACGTTCTCGTCCCGCCCGGGAGCTTTGCCCTAAAGGTGAAACATCCGCGAATGTGGAGCGATTAAAAAAACAAATAAGCATGCACGACTCGATTGCGTGTCGGATGTTTTACTTCACATCATCGAAATCAGAAGTATAGGCCGTGCTGTCTGTAAGCAGGAATATAAAACAGGCTTTTCCGTACACGGATTGATGGCAAGGATGTAACTGTCCCTTCAACCACGCCCGTCCCCACAGGAAATAAGACTATCGGTGTCATCTGTGATTAAAGAGGATAAGTTACAGTTCGAAGTACTACTTGTAGGACAGGGCCTTTAAAACCTGTAGGTACAAATGAAACAAAAACTTTAAAATGTCCTCATCTGTATCCTGTAGTTATATTAAAAGAATACTTTTATTTTATACCTAAAGTTGCAGTTTTAACAATTTGATTTTGTGCAGCCAACGCTTAAACTTTTAATGCCAAGAGGGCAGACAAGCCTACAGATTTGCTTCAAGAAGGCTTCTGTGACGTTCCCCAACTCAGATCTTAGTAAGATTTGCTCTGTATAAGAACACTTTCTCCCTCCCAGTTATAATCTGGGAGATAAAACAGCAGTTTAGCCATTAAGTTGTTGCAAGTTTTTAAAAAAGTATTATTTTCAAAAGTCCCACAGGAAAAGTCACTGTAGGTTTTACTTCATAGAATAGTATTGTAAATGTCATGGCCCTGAGAACTTGAGTTTGGAGTCCTGTTTGATAATTCAGGGCAGTTCACCCTTCAGGAGTGCTAAAATTAAAAGAATTTTTTCTTAAATGTGTTTGACAGTTTCATATATTCTGATCACACCCCACCCCGTTCTCTTATCCCCTCTTGTCCCCTCACCAGCCCCCTTAAAGTGATGAACCTTTAATCTTGCACATTTTTAAGCTTTTTATTTTATCGGATGGCCTGTTTAAAATAGACATTTCTTTCTGTTTATGTGTTGTTTCTCATCTAAACATTGCCACGCACACCTAAAACTATATATAATAAGTTAAATTTTTAAAATTGGATGAGTTGAAAACACCCCATAAAATAAAAAGGAGGCAGGGTATATAGTTTTTGGAGTACGTTTTTGAGAGAAAGGACCTTTTTTCATGTTTTCAACAAAATTCCAAAGTTGGGAAAGATATTAACCATCGTTGAATTAATTGCTTATTTTTAAAAGAAACTTGTTCAGAACTTGGTATACGGTAATAATTACTTACATATAATTTGATTAGGCCCAGAATTGGATTTAATAGTCACCTCTCTTCTTTGAGTCCCTTCTATTATGTAATTCAGACTGAACTTGCCTCTTTGGAGCAGTCATTTTAAAAGGAAAAGTTGGGATATGATACTTAAGAAATGTTTTAGTTTTAATTTCAGTATTGATGACTTTTCTCCACTTCTGTGGTTATGGTATAGCGGCAGTGTGTGAGAAGTACTCATTGGCTCTTAGCCAATCAGATTTCTTAGGAAGCACTGCTGCAAAGATGAAGATAATCAAGCTTGTCATAGCTTCATATTGCACTGCCAGACCGGTGTTCTCAAATCTGGGCACACTTTCGGTGCCTGCACAGGGAAGCTGCCTTGTGTGCCCTTTAGGTGTTCTCCCTGACAGTGGAAGGACAGATTCAAGTGCCACTGGCCCAGATGAACATACTTGTAGAGGGAACAATTTAATGGAGTGCCGAGCTCTTAGGAAGACAGTATTATATTAATCAGAGGGAATAGTCATGTTTCTGAAATATGTGGTCAGATGTAGAGACTGCCACAGAATGTGATATATTTTTAACTAATTTAACTTTATTTTATGTGCACTGGTGTGAAGGTATCATCAGATCCCCTAGAACTTGAGTCCCAGACTAGTGTAAACTGCCATGTGGACGCTGGGAATTGAACCTGGGTCCTCTGGAAGGACAGCCAGTGCTCTTAACCACTGAGCCATCTCTCCAGCCCCCAGAATGTATTTTTTTTTTTTTAAATGTACAAAATACTTGATTTTTTGCACAATGTATAAACATTAAGCAAAGTCAGACGTTTGTTTAGGTAAAACATGGATATTGACTGCAGTGTCCTGGTCAGTTATATCACTGAAAGAGTTCACACTTTTAACATGCTAAAGCAATACATATGATACATGTGTACATATCTTTCTAAGGGTTGGGATAAAACCTTGTACCTTTCTTGCACGCAAAGCTAAGTTAAACCCAGGCAACTCTTTACTGGTGGGAGTTAGGTGAATATGCTATTACAAAGGAAAATCATTTCTTCCTCTTTGATTTAACACTTGCTGGATGAAAAAAGAACACTGCTATCTTAAATCCTAAGGGCTTCCCTTTGAAGTATTTAATATGTCTTGTGTTCTGGAATCCTCGTTTTCCTTGTTTCTTCAGAGAGACCTTCCCGGAGACCCTAGCATAGACTCCATTGTATCTCATAGTTTGTAATTACCTAGCTACTTATGTAAATGTGTGCTTCGTGTCTGTGAGTTCCAGAGAGAGCAGTGGCCATGTCTCATTCTGCTGTTCTCTGTAACTGCAGTGTCTCTTGCAGTTATCTGGCAAAAACCAGGTGTTCTGTAAGTATACGGTGAATGACAGTGAATAAAACTCCTGCTTTTTGAGCTTCTAATTAGAGACTTGGCTAAGATTGGAACATACTGTATTGTGATGAATTGACTGAAGGGGAAGGAAGGTTTATCAGCTTGTGACATTATCATGAAATATCACTTAGCCAAGTTGCCTGGCCTCTGGGGTCTCTTCTTTTCCCTTTCCTATAATGATCGGGCACACTGAGCTCAAAATACCTTTAATAGCCTATCTTTTGATTCCACTCACTGGTGGCAGAATTTCTAAGTTCATTTGAAAGAAATATGTGATAGCTCTCTAAAAGAACATTTGCAGAATGCCAGCTAAACTGTTATAAATTCTTGACAACTAGACAGTACTGATCTGGTTTCGAGGCTCTCATAGCTATTAGAGACAACATCTAATTAATACATGGTTTATAAATTAACAAGATGTATTATTTGTTGACTTATAAACCCTATTTTCTGTTTGAAACCAATACAAAAAAATTAAACAGTGTGACCAAAGTTTGTATAAATTAGAATTGTTAGATTTCTTACAGATCAAATCAAGATTCCATAAACAAAACAAGGAAGGAGAAAACAGATGGGATGAGTGGATGGAAGTTGTTAAGACAGGTTCTTATATTTGCTGAAACTTAAAAAAATCATTTTTATACAAAATTACATATAGTTTATTAGGAATTCATGTCACTCTAGTAAATAAGTCAAGTGTGTTATTAGGCTGTTTTCTGTTAAGCAGTTAATATCAGTGGTAATGTAAATTTAGTAGGAAGATATCTTTTATCAAATTGCTATAAAACTTGAGTGGTTTGAGTGCTACACTAAGCCAGGTGCTATCAGTAATTCAGGTGCACGTGTCAATCCTGACAGCCAGGTGCCAGCAAATCATGCTGTAATTTTCCCTGTATGTCTCTGTAGTCAGGCTGAATAAAACCAGTTCTCCTTTAAAGCTTCTCAAATACTTGAGGACTACTCATTCTGTTTGATTTTATTAAGCATATGTTTATTACATGCCATTCATTATCTTCACTGTTATGTGGATGTATGCAAGTTTTTATTCCAAAATATGTGGATTATAGAATAAACATAATAATAATGACAGACTATGGAGTATGCACATTAATACCAATGACTTTCAAGTGTCCAGGGGATTTAGGTTTGTGTTAGTTCTTTTGGTCAGTTCATTATATTAACAGCTTATTTGAAGCCTTGAAACAGCCCACCCTCATGAATGGCTTCTAAATCAGCATTCTCCATCCTCAAGTTGCACACTTAACTTTGAGTTTATCTCTTTTAAGTTTCACTTTAATTTTATTTCTATTTGCTCAGTTTTGTTCAACCTCAAGATTAAATAAGCAGATATCTTTGTCTTTACCATGTCACATCTAATGAAAATACAGAACTAGGAGTTGTTTGGGGACATACAGCAAATTTCCTTCCTACACAGATACCCAACTGGAACTCACACAGCATATTACAAAGGTAGTGGGAGAAAACATTTTAAATATTACTTTTGTTAGAGTGTGGTAGCCTCTGAACTTTGGCTTTCTCCACTCTAAAATGGGTGGTTGTGAGGATTAAGCAGGTAATAGAGGTGTCTAGACCAGCATCTGTCAGATCGTAAGAGCTACTTAAGTATCTAGTGTCATTCTTCATGAAGTAATTAGTGTTATGGACTTGGCATTTTTTGCTCTGTTTGAATTTAGGCTGACATGTAGTCATTTTTGTTTTTTACTTTGTTTGGTAATTTCTGAATTGTGCTTACCTGCTTTTCTGTGCTCACCACTTGAAGCGGCTGTCTCTCCCCTTCCCTTTCCATGTCTATGTCTCACCCTGGGCTCCTTCATGGTTAAAATGGCCCACTGCTCTGGCTGTATGGCATTTTGGCCCAGAGATTTGCACTCACATAAAGTTTTAGAATCTCAGCACTCAAGAGGTGGAGAGAAAAAGATAAGTTTGAGACCATCCTTGGCTACTTAGTGAGATTCAAAAGGAAAGGCATTATTTAACAACAACAACAAAAAAAAGTCATTTAATTCTCTTCTATTCACAAAGTTCAAGTTTCAGTTCTCTGCTTTAGGCTTGAAAACTGTTGGGAGAAGATAAGCAAGATACAAGTTGAGCAATTCTTTCTGTGTAATCTCTTACCCTTAGCTACATCCTCTCTGAGCAGTGATTCTCTGTTCCTTGTTATCTTTAAGAAGCACTTGTTATTGTGGAGACAGTGCTGGTGACAGAGCATGAGACTTGGGTTCTAATCCCCACTCTGCTTGTTCATAGCCATGTGAAATTGGACAGATTGCATTATCACCTTGTGCTTTGGTCTTCTTATTAGCAAATTTGCTATTTCCCTGGTAATTTCAAAAGGTATCATGAGACACATTAGTGAAGCATTACTGTCAAGTGCTATGAAATATGAGATTGAATTTGCCTAAATGTCACTATCAGTACTCGTATCTTGAAGTCATTTTTAGACTCATTTTACTCTGAATTTTCTCATTTGTATTCCTGTATCTATACGGTTTTGTTCTTCTGTCATTCACTTTAATTTAGCTCCATACACTGGTTTCTATGGAGTCACTATGCACACTTTGGATGCTTTGGTTTTTCATCATTGGAATTGTTTACAGCTACAAAGAATTTAGGAGGACTTACCTCTTATGTATGAGTCATTTCATTCAGCCATGAGGAAGCATGCCTTTTTCTTTTCTTTTTAATTTTCTAAACTGTGTTTTCTATAAAACTATGGTGCATAGTTTACTGTGAATGGTGTTCTTTTTCCTAATTTGAGAAATCCCTTAATGAGGAGTTCACTTTCTCCTGTTTCTTAGTTTATCAACTGTCACAGTTCCTTGTTGTCTCTGGTATATCCTCTTTGCCCTTTTGCTTCCTTAGGCTTCTGGAAGATATTTATTTGTCAACATAGTATCCCAGGAGTCATATTTTTACAGAAGCTTACTCTTTTGGAGAGGTGGGGGTACTGAGGATTGAATCTAGGGCCTTGTACCTGCTACTGTGCTCTCACTCAACTCTTAGTATATAAAAACATGATAGACTACATAAGCTTTCCTGTATTGGCAAATTCTTTTGTATCTTTTATATGGCTAGGATGGGCTAGGACCAAGAGCATTTTTATGTCTGTGATATTTGTTTTACTTTTCCTGTTTTGTTTCTTCTGTTTTTCTGTTTCCTATCGTAATTGAATTGTGTAGTTGTGAAATAATGGTGTTTGGTCTTCATAAATTTAAAATGCAATAAATTATAGCTGGATGCAGTAGTATGTATCTTGATCTCAGCTATTCAGGGGTCTGAGGCAGAAGGAACTCTAGAGCCCAGGAGTTTAAGACCCGTCTGGGAAACAAGAGTGAAATCCTGTCTCCTGAAAAGAAGGTCATTATATTATTTAGCTCCCATCCCCCCATGCCCAGGGCTCCAGAATTAGTGGTGAGGGACAGGAGTATTATTTTAAGTGGGAATCCCTCTCTAAAATTATACCTGCAGACTGTGTAACTAAAGTAAAAATGACTACCCATTAGGGTGCATTCATGAATTGTAAATATACCACCAGAGATTACCACTAAAAAAAATACAGAGATTCTTACATTTTAAACTGATGGTAAATGAATATAAAACATTGAAACCCTTTTCAATTTTTCTTTTAGATTGACAGCATTTCAGAAGGCACCAGCTTTTCTCCTTGGACCCATTCATCAAAAGAAATATGCTTGTACTATTTTTAAAAGCTTTTTACTTCATCAGAGGGAAGTTCACTCCCCAAGATGGAAATGAATACATATGAGAAGATGATGTAAGGTGTGACCATTAGGTGTCCCATTAGTCACTGAAGGAATAGATTATCTGAAACACACCTTTCAGTCAGGAATACAGCAACTGTATTCAATTCTTATTTTCTGAAATGAAAAGGAAGAGACAAGACCAGATTTAAAATAAGTGAAGATGCTTTATATATAATCAGGATCAGCTCTATTCTTATGATGATAACGGTGATGTCAAGTGAGTTCCAGATCTGGGTGTGGTTCTAAAGACAAAATTCTTAATGGGACTGAAGGTGAGAGCAATAGGACCTTTTGTGCATTCAACCCCCAGTGGCAAAATTTGTCATCATTTGCATGAGTGGCTCAGCCACGGAAATACAGTAGCTTTCATCTAAATCAGAAAGAAGCACAGTCAGTTTTTTTACTACTATTATTTTGAAAACTTCTTCAAAACTGTCTAAAAAGCATCGGCGACTATTTTTATAGATTAAAGAAAGGCAGATGTCTGCAAATAATTCTCCTCCATCAGCCCAGAAGTCTGTGTTACCTGCAACTGTTTCTGCTGTGCTTCCAACTCCTTCTCCGTGTTCAAGCCCCAAGACAGGACTCTCAGCTCGGCTTTCTAATGGCAGCTGCAGTGCCCCGTCACTCACAAACTCTAGAGGCTCAGTGCATACTGTTTCATTTCTACTTCAGATTGGCCTCACACGAGAAAGCGTTACCATCGAAGCCCAGGAACTGTCTCTGTCCGCCATCAAAGACCTCGTGTGCTCCATTGTTTATCAGAAGGTAGTATGCAAGCTATTTTTATCAATAGTTTTTTACTAATTAACGTTGTTTCTCACAAATCTTTACAATTTATGCATGAAACAGTGAACTAATGCATTTGAACTCATCAGTAATTAATGTCCCGATTATGAGCATTTTGGGCAATGCACTGATAGATTGTGAACCAGAAAATCTGAAATTTTAGTTAATGGGAACCTATGTCCCATTTTAAAATAGCATTTACTCCAAAATAGCATCATTTTATAGTCAAGGGGCCATATGAGACTTCATGTGATTTCAGAGAAAGAGGTCAGGAGGTAGAGGGCATAAGACATTGAGATATTTACTAGAAAGGAGTGACACCAGATCTCTAAACCCAGTGTCCGACTGCACCCTGGGATTTCCGGCTGTCCTGTGTTTTGCCCTCTTTTATACCCTTGTCTTCTCTTTGGATGCTGATCATTTCTCATTGGAAATTCAGAACCTACCTAGACTACCATTTAATACAGAAAAGCACACTCTTTCTCTTCCTCTTAAGCAGGCAAATCAATTTTAAATATCTATGACAGATTATTCAAGATGATTGTTTATCATTTAATGACAATGAATCTTGGCTCAGTGGATTAGTATGTATGTTTTCTACTTAGGAATTATTTATATGGGTTATATTTGTTGGTTTTGTTTTATTTTCAATGGACAGCTTGCTTCAAAAAAAAAACTTGTAGAGTCTATGTGTCACAGTTTATAAAATGCTTGCTTTACAAGCATGAGGACCTAAGTTCAGACCCCCACACCCACTTAAAAAGCTAGGCTCAGCAGTGTGCACCTGTAAAATCCCAGCACCAGAGGGATAGAGACAGATTAGCCATTATGGTGAATCAGTGAGCTCCAGGTTCAGCGAGAGACCCTGTCTCAATAAGGTGAAGGGCAAATGAGGAAGTCACACAAAGCCAATCCTTGGCCTACGTATATGCACAGGCATACACATACACAAATGTGTGCACACAGAGACATATAGTCTCTCCGTGAGATTGAATTTCAGCTCTTCATCTTTTGTTTTACCTCTATGTTATATGTGGTTTGTCACTAGCTTCTAATTTACAAGTAGTTAGCAGCCCAAAAGTGTTATAGTTTTAGTGATGATGGCCTATGGGCTTGTGTTTTAACAGGGACTTTCTGGTGTAAATATGGCCTAAAGTAAGAGTGACTTTAGACCTGCAGAGTTGTCGATTTGTTTCCTTGTGTATTTACCTACTGTGATGTATTTAATTCTGAGATGGGGGGATTACTGTTGCCCAGGCCACTCTTTGCACTCTTTGGTTCTCTTGCCTCAGGTCCTTCTTAGCTGGGATCACAGACATAGGCCACCTTGCCCAGAGCTATTTTTCAGTGTCTTCAGTTGCATTTCCCTCTTGTTATATGCTACATAAGTTTTTCACAAATACTTTTGCAGCTGTTTTGTAATTTTTTCAACTTAAAGGTAATGTTTAAGTCTAACTTCTTTTGAAGGGTAAGAATTCATAACCCATGTTTTAGTAAAATCTATTATTCCCTTTTCAGCATCTAGAATTTTCACTTTTTTTAATTGATAAAGATGAGTGCATATATCTTTATCATGTACAGTTTATTAAAAGATGGATGCTTTATATAATGGCAAAGTGGGCTAATTAACTTGCTTCATATCTATCTGGTCACTTACAGACTTGGATGGACTCATTTACTCCTTACATTTAATCAAAGGCATACTGATTCTATATAGTATTGTTGTAGAATGAACTCTATTATTTATCTACAGGACTACTTCAGGCAAGTGATTTTATTTGTTTGAATAAGTTCCCAGATTACAGCTCTGAGATTTGGGTCTTCTCTTCAGGAGACAAAGAAATGAGAACAGAGTCTTGAATGGTAGATGAGAAATCTTTAGGCACCAGCTTAGATCCTAGGGTTCCATTCGTGGGTCCCTGTCTCATTTTAGATCTTAAAAAGCTGTGTCAACATTTCTTACCTTCTGTCTTGTCTTAAAGAACTTTCTCTGTGGCCATCCATCTAGTTTTCTGTGGTGTATGTATGATTTCAGGTCCTGAAATAATTACTTGAATAATATTTGAGTGATTACTTGAACCCCTGAAGAAAGATGGTACTTCCTTATGGTTGTATAGCTTGTGTTCTTTTGAGACTCACAACAGTGGAAGTGGGGTGTCTTGACTCTTGCCTGCACTTGAAACCCTTTTCCTCCTGCTGGGTTGCCATGCCCAGCTGTGATATGAGGGTTTGTGAGATGAGTTGATCTGAGGAAGAAGAGGAGGAGATGGGGGAGGGACTGGGAGGTGTGGAGAGAGGGGAAACTACAGTCGGATTGTAATATATGAGAGAATAAAAGTTAAAAAAAAGGAAAGATGATATTTAATACTCATAATTTGGGTGCCAGATTATCTTTCAAGTTAGTAGAGGTGATAATTCATCTGTAAATAAATGCTTTAGCTTTTTAAAATAATAAGGTACTTACATTAATAATAATTATAGTTTCCATTTGTCAAATTCTGTCCTATCTTTATACATATCCTGTTAATTTTTTACAATTTCACTATGTATATCGAAAAGGAAATGGAAGCACAGAGCATTTAAATTACTTTCTAAAGCCTGTGATAGTAAGAATTCAGAGCTTGCATTTTTTAAGTGTTGTGCTCTAGACAACTGCTTTGACTTTTCTATTTTCAATCATTGCTAATTTGTGAGATGCCTTCCAACTCCCTTGAAACTAAGTGTGCACTGACACCTGTGTAACAAACTGAAGTAAATGGTTGTTCTGCATAATAGCTGACATTTAAGATGACTGGCATTTGATATTTGCACTTATAACTATTGGAGTGGTTTATTAAGAGTAGAAACTAGAAGAGCAAGTATGCCCATTAGACCAAACTTACTTATGTAGAACCTTCTAAAATTAGACTACTGGTTAAACTTTAGGAATTAGATGGACCTGACAGTGTCCCTGCCCCTAAAAGTGTATCATCTGGTACCACATATGAGAAGCAGCATGGGATGTTGAAATAAAAAGTGTCCTTTGTAGGCTGATGAACAATGCAGAAGGCTGAAGCCATACAGAAAATGGTATTAAAGTTGGAAATCAAGTAACAGAATGAGGAGGTGAGAAAGGTATTTCCAACAGAAGAAATGAGATAGGCAAAGATGGGGAAAGGAAGATGGTAAGTGTTGGACTAGAGAGATGCCTCAGCAGTTAGGAGTGAATACTCAAAGGACCTGAGTGTGATTGATTCCCAGCACCCACATCAGGTGGATCACAAACCACCTGTAACTCCAGGGGAATCTGATGCCCCTGGCCTCCATCCCCCACCACACACACATGTGGCATATACCACATAGACACATTATTAAAATTAAAGTAAATCTTAATAAAATAAATATGAGTGCCAACATTTAGTAAGCCTACTTGGTGCCGGGAGATTTATATGTTTAATCCACACAGTAGTGTATGGTACATTTGAAACTTTAATGTACATAAGATTCATCTGGGAATTCTACTTAGGAGTGTTGTTTGGATTCTGTAGGTTTGTGTGGCTACACACTTGTTATGGTGATGTTAGTGGTCCTTTGCTGTAGATCCTGTCTTACTTACTTTTCTCTTTCGGTGCTAAGATACCAGAACCAAAACAACTTATAAATAAAGCACTTGATTTGTGGCTCATGGTTCCAGCGGGTTAGATTCTATGACTGTCATGATGGGGATCATGGCAAGCAGACATGGCTCTGGGGCATCTCACTGAGGCTTCATATCAGAGTCCACAATCACAGGCGTAGAGTGCTAGGTGGGAATGCCATGGTGTTTTTGAAACCTCAAAGCCCACCCCCAGTGACACACCTCTTTCAAGAAGGCCAGACCTCCTAAATCCTTACAAACAGTAATACCAACGTGGGACCAAGTATTCAAATGTGAGCCTATGGGAGCCATTCTTATTCAAGCCACAACAGACCCACAGATGTACCGAGTTGCAAGGGTGTAGGTGACCCTCATTTGCTAAAAGAGGAAACTGAAATTTCAGAAGAGAATAATTTGCTGAAAGTCAGAGATCAAGCTTAGGTCTGTCTTAACTCCAAGCCTTCTATACTCCTCTCTGCACCCTGATGAGAGGCCTTTCCTCAGCTATGAAAACATTCACACTGGATCCTTCCAAGAGTAGAGATTTAACTAAAGTGTTTGTGTAGCAAAGTGAGATGATCACATCTGTCTTGGAGATCTCAAAGGGACTAATGAAATGGCTTAGCAGCTCAAGGTTATTGCTGCTGAGCCTAATGGCCTGAGGTTCCTCCCTGGAACCCCATGGTGGAAGGAAAATCCCCTCCCAGATACTAGCTTCTGACTTGCAAACACAGACATGCACATGTACAAATAAAATAAATATAAAAAACTTCAAAGTTATTTTAAAGATGTTACATGAGTTAGAGATGAAGTTGGGGTCACAGGAAATGCATGTTGTGTGAAACTTGACATCCTGTTAAACATAAGGAAAGTGCAGTGACGGCCACATGAGTGACTGGAAGAGTGAAGGCTGATGCTAAGGTCGGAAATTCAAAATGAGAAGTAAGTTTTTGTTGGGGGGTGGAGGGAGAATATGATGCAATTCGTTTCTTCAAACTAATAAAATAAGGTTCCTGTGTTCTAGAAATTTATAGGAGAATTGAAGACATGTTCTTGAACTTCAAGGTTTTTCAGGATGTACTTTGGAACCCTTGTGCACTGCCTGACTGTGGAGTGTAGTTATTTCTTCTAGAAACTTCACACCTCTTAGTTCTCTGGTTAGTAAAACTAATAAGGTTAGAAAACCATGAAACAGTCTCTTAGTTTGGAAGGCCTCAGAAGAAAGATCTAACAGTGAATAACCCACAAGGACCCCACCCTATTTAAAATCAGGAAAGAACTTCCTGAGTTATCTTTTCATTTTAGGCATGTTTGAAATTTTGAAAATACATATTTAATATAATAGTCATAAAATGTAGATCCC